CTGGTGGCGCAGCGGTTAAAACCCTTGGCTACTAACTGAAAGGTCGACAGTTTGAATCCAATATCCTCTCCACAGGAGAAAGATGTGACAGTCTGCTTCTGTAAAGACTACAGCCTTGTAAACTCTATGGGTCAGTTCTACTCTGTCCTGTAGGCTAGCTATGAGTTGGAATTGACTCAATGCCAGTGGATTTGGTTTTGGGCTTGGAATCTTTCAGAATCTCCCTTTTTAACAAAGATAGGTGGACTCTCAAGCTCTCAGCTTTGATAAAAACCAGTTACAGCGAGTTGATTCTGACTCATGGTGACCCCATGTGTGTCAGAGTAGAACTGTGCTGCATAGGGTTTTCAATGGTTGATTTTTTCGGAAGTAGATCACCAGACCTTTCTTCCCTCAGCTTTGATAGGCAACTGTATTTAGTATTTAGTCTGAATTTAATTCCATTATTTTGTTTTCATTGTTTTAGTGTGTACAAACCAGCCAATACTGGTTTTCTACTTACAATGAGATAAGATATTTCTTTAAAAATAATTTTACTTAAAAAAGGTGAGTCTATCGAAAGAGAAGTAGTAGAGGATACAATGATACAGGTGATATGTAGATATGCAAAGTTGTGAATCTGGTAGAGGAATGACAAAAGCTTTGGAAATATTGGTCTAATATCTGATATGTTACTTTTGTAGAGGTCCACAGTCTACTCTTTGAAACTCTTAGGACCAGATTTATTTTGGAATTCAGAATTTCAAATCTTTTTGGCATAGTGCTTATACCAAGTATCATATGATACCCACAGGAGACACTGAGGTGGTGTTATAATCAAGCATGTTAATATTATGCAGGAAGATGTATGAGCATTCACATCAAGTGGGGTCCATAAAGACTACACATGGCCTCATGTGGGTTCAGGTCAGGTTTTCCCACCAAATATGCTTTTTTTTTTTTTAAGTTTGTAAATTTTGCTTTTTAATTCTTTTTTTTTTATTTTATTTTTTATTGTACTTCAGGTGAAGGCTTACAGAACAAATAGTTTCTCATGAAACAGAAGTACACATGTTGTTTTATAACATTGGTTAACAACCCCACAACATATCAA